TAGGACAAACAGAATGCACAAAATGCAGAACTCACAAACAAAAGAGACTGTAGCTTATTCGTCTCTTTGACCAATTTATTATTTTGCCTCTACAATTTACTTTAAAAGTTATTCAGAAATTACAGTCAGCTTTAAACTCCAGCCATATTAAGCTAGGATTGCCGTTTTTATCTGCTGGATCAAAGGTCTACGCCTTTCTTTGCAGCTAGCTTAATATACTGAACAATGCATTCTCACTCTGTTTTTTTTTTATTCCCTTTTTTTTATTACCCCCATTAGAGGGAAAAAAAGCACAGAGATGGACTCAAAAAGAACACCAAATCTCTCAAGCACTAACCCACTATTTTACTAACTGAGCTTACCAAGCAGGTGAAGCTCACTCTGTAAATAATATATATGGCCTGGACTATTTATGAGTCCAAACCTTGTATATGATTTGAATTAAAATCCATGCACAACTGCAACTGGCACTGGCTGCACAATGTTCTGTTGCACAGAGTTCTCTGCCATTGAATCTCATTTAGTTCCTATTTAAGTGGGGGGGAAAAAAGAGAAAACCAGTTTGTCCAGATTTGTACAAAATTGATTCTCCAATGAGAAAATTTTTTGCAAAAACAGCGGTTGTAGGTGAATAATTTGAAGAGAAATTGCCATTATGAGATATTTCTATATTTTAACTTACCGGATGGCAGTGGCGCCTGGTGAAGTTTTCCGAAGGGGGGGGCTATAAATTCAAAATAGACGTATACCAAAATCCAATCAAACGTATACTAAGTTATCCCACCCGTATATTCATATAAATGCCAACAACAAAAAGCATTATAAAAACACTTTTTTTTTTTTAAAACAACATAATTTTATGAACAGGTTTACTTTTTGTACATACATTTAGCCCTTTTGATTTTAATAATGGAGAAGCTATTAATCAGCTATATATTTTTTTAATATATTTTTTTTTCTGAGAATGTGTTTATTTAAGAGCAACTATGCAAATTAACAAACATCTAGAAAATGTATACTACCATATTATTTTCCATGTGAATCCCAGACTCTTCATGCTTCTTTGCCTTTTCTAAAAAGTGCTTTAAATTTGTCCTACCTGCCTTTATCCATGCTGGATCAGATCCTGACGTTTGAAAAAGGTGGCAGGGAAAGCGGAATAAAGCGTTAGCTTTGCTGCATGGATTTAGCCAAGACTTGTTGCTTAAGCTGGTCCTTGAAAAGGACAGTGTTGGTATCTGGAGATCTGTCCACCTTTCTCCAGCAGAGGGTGCCCTAGGTCTCCTGGAGCTGAAGCTGACTACCACACCTGCGGCTGATTTGCTCATCAGGGAGATCAGCATATAAGCAGCGGCAGGACTACTCTTCAGCGCCAGAGTGTTAGCCAGTTACGGTTAGCAAGCCTGAGCCAACCAACCAACCAACCAACCAACCAACCAACCAACCAACCAACCAACCAACCAACCAACCAACCAACCAACCAACCAGCCTGCCTGCCTGATTCGCTGACTCCCTGAAAGCCTGACTTGAACCTAACCAGTTTTCTGTCCTCTCTGCTTCCTAGGAAGAATCTGACTGAGACCCTGGAGCATTGGAAGAGCTACTCAACTGAAACCTGCCTGCCTGCTCTCAGTAACAAACCTGAAGATCAAACTGTCTGGATCAGCCAACCATCCTTCAAGAAGCTACTTGAAGAAGCTCTGAACACTCACAAGCCTGAAGCTAAGTTCTGTCGCTGCCAAGCCCTCTGCCATCGAACAGTCTCTGGACCCTCCTGGTTCCCTCCCTCTGCCGCTCAGCCTAAATCTCTGAACAGGTACAGATCTGCCCATTCCCTCAGCTACAAGATCATTAGCTACCTGGCTAACCTAACTGTCCCTCTCTGCAGAGAACCTTGTGTGACCAGTCCCGGATCTGATTCCAGTATCTGTCAACCAACCTTGTACATAACTTCAATAAATTGTTAAACTTTTACTCTGACTCCTTGGTGTTCTGCATGTGGGTTAGAAACCTGAACCCCAACATGACACAGAGTGTACCATCTCCATCTGTCTTTTGGGCTGCTGATTAATATTGTTCAGCTGATCAGGTCCAAATGATTTCACCTCCAGCCTCTCCTAGTAAGTTTGCTTTAAAGGACTTCACTTCTGTGACTCGACCTGTCAGTCAGCTCTGCTACGACTGTGACGTCAGTCCCTGTCAGCTCTGGGAAAAGGAGAGCTGCTCCCTGAACTCTCCTATTCTTTGTATTGCAGAAGAACTTCTGCAAATGTTCAACTTTTAGCAAGAGTCAATGGGCAAAGATTTTTGCACCTTAGGGTGGAAATACGTCACCAATCCGAAAAAGTTAACAGCTTTACTCGTCATTACAGATCAAATATTTATCTTGCACATCTAAAAATATATTAATATATTCTGAAATATTTTAATTTTGTAATTTAAGTCATTGGGTGGGTGGGGCCGCGGCCTAGTGCCCTCTATTGGCCAGCCGTTACTGACCAATGGCATCAGCTAAAGGTTGTTTAAGCCAATTTATACTTTGGTAATATGTGTTCAAAAAACAAAAACACTGTGAGCTGGCCTGGTGTCGCCTCAGGGTCCCCCCAGAGCAGCTGGAGGTGGTGTTTTGATCGGGAAGTCTGGGTATCTCTGCTTAGACTGGTACCTCTGCAACCCATGCCCAGATAAAGTGGAAGAAAATGGATGGATGGATCGCAATATGTGATATAATTGTCTAAATAGGCTGCATCTATGTACAAATTTGAACAGTAATATGCCAACCTTAAAATGCTATTATGGCTCCAAATGTGCTATTTTTCTTAAGCTTAACAATAAAAGTGGGCCAGCTCCTTTCCTATATCAGGTCGTATGAGCATGCACCAAAACTAAATCTTCATTAGCGTGGATAGCTATTGCATAAGTACAATAGAACAACAGCCTGGACTTACACCAGGTTAGTCTTCATTTTCTAATGGTTTGCCTCAATTCACCATGACATTTTAAAAGCAAACCCAAGTAAATGGATGGAGTCACGCAGTTATAAAAGCAGCTGGTTTGGGATGCTAGAGATGGTAAGTATGACAGGTAAGTTTAGGAACCCATTTTAGAGTTTTGCTACATACAGTACAGAATATTTTGCAGGAATAAGTTCCTGGAAAAGTAAAGCTGCAAACCCATAAAGCATGAATGGAAAAAACAATGTTAAAGCTACAGTGTGTAATAATCACAGGGATATACAGTCAGAAATGTAATATATTATACATAACTATGTTATTTATCATCATCTACGAGCTCAGCCTCTTAACCTTAATATTTGCGTTGCCTTAGAATTCGTTATTTATAATTACATAGGAGCGGGTCTCGCAGCCATGGAGGCAGACATCTTTGCGCTACGGCAGCGCAGAGCCAACAAACTAGCGATTGCAAGATCGCCCATTACACTCGAAAGTAACTACGGCAAGTTGAGAGAGATGAACTGAGACGGTACTGAACAATAGATGGCAGTATTATGCCTGAGAATACTATCTGTAAAATTATCTACGTAAACAAACCTCATCACTTGAGAAGGTAGGTGATGCGGACGTCGTGGAAGACATTTTGTCCTGTAACGCTCGCCGTACTGTTGGAGGGGAGAAGCGGTGGGGGGGAGATGTTCATGTTGCTGCGGTCTGCAGTCTGGACGTTAGATGTCGCTAAAAATTACACACTGTAGCTTTAATTTGACCAAAGCTATCAGTATGTTGATTAGGAAAGACTGCATGAATACAGCAGTATAGAGAAAAAAATGGAGAGGAGGGAGTTTGTGTGGTTCTGCTAGACACAGAGAGATTTTAAAAGTTTTCTGATCCCACCTATAAATTAAACATATAGATGATTCCTCTTATCTTTTATATTTTATGGTGTTTGCATTCCCAGTTTTAGTTAATTTAGTTAATTTTCACTGCCATGTGAACATAGCCGTGATTTCCATGCAGGCCAGAGATTACTGGTTCGGTCTTCCCTAGTTAAGCTTTCAGACCTGCTCCATTACCTAAAAATGAGAACTCTGAGGTGTTTAAAGAGAACTAAAGCTACATAATACATATTATAACATTATTGTTGCTATATCATTGGTTGTATTAGAGGAATTGTAACAGATTGCCTGATGTAATTTGTAGTGCATACAGCCCAACAGTGGTCAGATTACATTAGTCACGATTTACTCAAAATGATGCAGCAATCATTTTTTACACTACATGAAAAAATGAACGCTTTTAGCAGAATATCATATCTCAACACCTGGTTGTGACATGCAAAGGGCGTTAAGCTGAGCAACTTGCAAGATCAAGAAGATCACTTGCAGAATTAAACCTTTATCCTTTCATTTAGAGCCCCTGCTGCTGCTTCAAAGTGGACTTTACACATTAATCAATAAAAGTTTAATTATTTAAATAGTAAATATTGATGGGATCATTCAATACAAGGACCTTACGCTATGAAAATGTGTTTGAATATGAATGAATAAAACAGGATATCTGTGTGCTAACATGGCGTACTTGCATTGAAATGTAGATGTGATGCGTTTGTGTGAGAGAGTTCCATCTGAAATGCACCAACTGAGATGTTGGTGTTTTATTCTTGGCATAAGGGTAAAACAAAAAAGTTTTCTTTTTGTCACTATTTTCGAAACCACTAAAATATTATGCTTACTGTGAATATTGATCTCTGTCTGCATGAAAAGAAACAGACTCATTTTCAACAGGAAAGGAATTAAATTCATTTCTTCACAGCAGGATTAGCTTTTATTCCAGTATGAGTTCTCTAAATCCTCTTCTCACCTTTGTAGGAAAAAGAATTACAGCATTACACTTTAGAAGATCTGTATAACAGTTCAGATTTTTTCAGTCTTATTAGATGGTAGATTTTCTAACATGTTTTAAAAAAATAAAACACAAAAATGCCTAAAAAGTCTCTTAAAGAATTATAAGACAATCACAAAGGAAGGTATTTGGGGGTGAATGATGATCTCAGTTCTTCCACAAAAACACAGCAATTTATGCAAGTTATCTGTTTTAATAGATTTACAAATGATTAAATGAAATATGCATTAAATTCCCTCTTTTTTTACATTTATCACAGAGTTGTATATAGAAACACTAGAACAGCTTATTGGGTTTTTATTATCTCTTTTTTTTTGCATAGAATTCAGCTACATCAAATAAAAAGTAAGATACAGGCAGTTTAATCCTGAGTACTGACTGTATAAAAACATAATGTTCCATTCTTTAAATCCAACCCTGTAATTCTGATTAATCAACAAGTCTTAATGAGCATAAAGCATGTACAGACATCTGTATGAAATAGGGAAAAGCAAAATGACAGTGGTGGCGGGTTTAGCCACTTTTGCATTTATAACAGCATCCCATTAAAAGCGCAATGATTTTTTCAAAAAAGGAACAGATACGGCAACTAAAAGCACCAACAGAACCAGACAGATAGGGATCTGATATAAGCAAGACTAATTAATTTTAAACCGTTTTATTTTCTTTATATAGCCTTATAAAAGTTTTCAATATTTATGCATTTAATGTTAAATAAAAGACATGCAATTGTTTTATGATAAAGCAATGCAGAAGTGAAAGGCATGATTTAATAAAAAAATAAATTTTACAAATAAAAATCTAAAAAGAATATTATGCATATGTCTTTGTCCTACCTTACTCAGATACCCCCCAAAAAGGAAATGGGAACCGTACCTTCACATTAATTAGAGAATAGAGTCCTTAAGAAAACTTAAAATGAACAAACAGAAGCAAAAAGAAAGAGGAACACAGCAGGGTTAAAGCTGTGAAGAAATTGAAAAGAGACTAGCTGGTAAATTTAATTAAGGTCCAAAACATCTGCCAGAGTTCTGGGTCATGGCCACCCACCCAAACAGTTCAGGAAAAGAAAGCATTATACAGAACAAAAAATAGCAGGAGGCTCAAAGTGACTCTGGAGGAGTTGCAGAGATCTAGAGCTCTGGTGGGTGAATCTGTAACCATGACAACAATTAATTAAGGACTCAAATAAGGCCTTTGTGGAAGATTTACAAGAAGAAGGCCTTAACAACAACAAATAAAGGACACATCCAGTCAAGTTTGCAGTGTGGCATAATCTGTGTGGACAAGAAGGTCATCTAGTAAAAGGTGAGCCTTAAAAACAAACACTGGGCATCATCCTGAATCCAGCAGCCCTACTGTTCCAAGCTTTAGAGGATGATTTTGGTAGCAGGGCTATCGAGGCAGGATGGCGCCACAGCAATCATGGAAGAAAAGCTTCTTAAATCAGAAAAAGTCCCTGTAACTGTGGCCAAGAGTAAGTTTCCAACTGAACAAATCAAAACATGCAGTTTTAAAATGGCCCGGTCAAAATCGAAAACTAAATTTTGAACTGAGAATATAAAAAAACAAAATGAAAATGAATGTTAACAGACATTCTCTATTCAATCTGACTGAGTTTCTGTTTTGCAATGAAAAATTTGGCAAAGACTTCAACATCTACAATAAGACATCTGACGGAAATACAGCAGAATAAAAAGAAAACGTGGGATTTCTAATTGCTGCAAAAGGTTATCCTACCAAGCATTTACTCAGGGGCCAAACACACATACAGCTTGGGCTTTTTTTATTCTTATCTGTAAAAATCTTAATATATCTTCCTTCATAAAATCTACACAATTAATTGTCTCTGTTTTTTTCTATCAAATAAAAATCTCAATGAAATATACTGATATTTGTAAAGCGTTTAAAAGGGTATGAGTGTTTGCACAGCAGCATAAATATGACAAGATTCAAAGTACTTTAGCATAAAATGAAAATGCCTTTCTCAGAAACAAATCTAATTTTAAACTTATTATATAAAAACAGTTAACATAATGGGGTGCGTGTTCCCTTTTTGCATTCTCATTCAAACACAATATTGTATTTGATACAATTTACATAGAAAAACCCCCAAAATATTTTTTATAAAGTACAACAGTCAAAATAAAAAGCATTAAAATACTATTTAAAACTTTATTTACATTACAGGCAGCTGGAATGGACAGACACGAGGCACTGTCTTCAGCTAGATAAGCATACTGGTGGAGGGCGAAGTTTGACTGCTGAACCTGAAGAACGTTTCGGCATGTTCTCCAGTGCAATGCATTATGGATCTCCATCTGGGGGAGGAGGCTGACACAGCTTGTACAACCTGATCAGAGAAACAAAAACAGGACATGACACACCATTACGTACGACATGCAGCAGCGTAAGGCATTCAAACGCATGCAGGGACAGTAAACAGTGATCTCAATGGTTTCGTAGCCGTCGGCCAAGCAGCTGCAGGGATTAAAGGGGCATCAGGACTCAAATCAAATAGTTGTGTCTTTTAAATCTCAAGGGAGAGAAATTTTATAACACCACAGAAAGAGTCGATTTGAGAGGGAATCCTCAAATGACTTATGAAGAAAGACACAGCGAGTGCAGTAGTTTCTCCTCCATGGAAACGCATGTAAAACCCCACTCAGCCCGTTACTTAGCCACGTTCATAAATTCTGACTAAAAGGTTCAGAAGGGCTGCCCATCCCACAGAGGCTAGAGTGTTTGCTGTTGCTAAATGGCTGAGACAGTCCTTAACTGCTGGTGAGTGCACCCATCTCTGTCCTAATGTAAATAAAATTAACAGCTGGCAGCTTCAGGCATTTCAATACATTTAGCTGGATTTTTATTTGTCAAGGAGAATATAGAAAAGCTGAACTAGACTTAGTTTAAGCTACTTTCCATCTGCAGTCCCTGGGTAAGTGTGCACAATAAACACTCCCAATATAAATGTAACATATATTTAAAAAAAAACAACTAAGTATATATTTACAATACAAGACATATTTCCCTAAAAGAATGTCACTCGGCCTACTTTAAGCAATACTAAAAACACTAGAAGCAACTAATGGTACAGTTGATTATTAACAATATATTTAGTTTTTCGTTTTTTTTTTTAGATTTTTTAAGGACTTTTTGCAGATCTATAAAAAATATTGACATACTAGGGCTGCAACTACTCATCATTTTGCAAATCAATTAATCTTTTGATAATATTTTCGACTAATTGATTAATAATCGGATAACAAAAGTTTCCTTAAAGATTATTTTTTACAGAATTTAAACCAACTGAAAAGAAAACTTTTTCCATTAAAGAGTTCTGGATAGAGCATAGTGATGGACGAGAAATTTTTAATCATATATACAAAATTAATCCAAGTAATTGATTCAGCCTTAATTTATACAATCTGGGAACTGAAGCCATTGTTGATAAATTTGAGCAATGAGCTTGACAGTGAGAAAGTAGATAATCTTAGTGGGGCAACAGTTTTTGTACAAATTGAACCTGAGGATATGTTTATTTATAAATACAAATACAATTCCTGCTTTTCTGCTTCTACGTACACCTACCCAGACCTGTAATCTCTAATCTTATAGGTAAAAACAAAATCCTAGGTTTCATTAAGCGGTGCTTACCTTGGGACTGAGGATGGTGTTCGGTCTCTCACTCCCAGATTTTTGGCAGAGTTCTGAACTCTTGCTCCCTAAAAGACAAACATAGTTAATGTCATCGCAGCCAGGTGTAGATTGACCAGTAGTAGAAGTTACACAAGCAAAATAGAATTTAAAACCTTTACAACTAGAAAAAGAGCCCTCAGACTGAGACACAGCCTTGCATTATTTAGTAATGATGATTAATTATATATTTTTCTGTAATTTTTTTCCTTATTTCTAAATGCTGTATACGCTTATAATTCATCTTTAGAAACAGGAGAAGATGAAAAGTTATACAGCTCTGTCTATTTTACCCGTTTTACTGCTAATCTCTCTACAGGTTCCTGTTGGCTTAGCTTGTTGAACAGCTTTTGGCTATAAAATCCGAAACACAACATGCACAAATTGTTAAAATGCCTTATGCTCACAGTGCAGCTTTTAATGGACACCACTTTGGGTAATGCACATTACTAGAGCCAGTTTTTCTTAAGTGAGATGCTCTTTTTTCCCCCCCGCTGAGACAGCTTACTTACAGGCATACAATGACTGTCAGAGAACAGAAGGAAAAAGTATATAAATTCTAAGCTTAACAGCATCCTATGAATATTGTAGGATAGAAAGTAAATGTCATGCTGGGAATGAGGACACAGAGGATTTGAAGCGATTGCTACTGGCAGTGCAGTTCTTTTTTTTAATGATCAAAGCAACGCAGTAAATGCAGAAAAATGCTTTATTAGGATAAGAAAACAAGTGGTAAGGAATTTGAAAGATTAATTGGGCTGCTGAGTGTGCTGGTGTTTTGTAGAGCTTTATATTGCTCAGTCAGGAGCATGTGTTGTTGTTTTTCTTATAAGGTCCTTCTAGCTTTCTGGTCATGTACAGAGTCTGCAAATCTACTCCCTTCAGAGTTGGAGGTTGCAACTTTCAGTTTATGGTAGAGAGAACACTTGCACTTACAGATACTCTTTGTGTTTGTGCTGCACAAACGAGAGCAAAGAAACACACTCTCCAAGTCCTCCTTTAGGGAGGTCATCAGCATTCTAGCAGACTGAATATCTGGCCAAGAGTGCATTAGCTGACCTCTCGATTACAACTCTGCTGTCAGCCCAGAGTTCGGTCCAGACAACAGGATAGCATCAGCAATTATTCGATTCCTATCACTGCAATCCATTCTCAGGCCTCTAGACAGAGATGTCCCCTAAAGTCACTGAAGGACGAGACCGGTTAAGATCAGTAAAGTTTTGTTTCTTTTACAGTAATTTAGATTCTACATGGTCTGAAACTAATTGATGGCATCATTCTTACTAACAAACACAAAATTATTTTTTTAGTATGTGGTAGAAGAAGTTAATTGAATGCAATATTTGGTTTGAGTCTAACCAGCAAATTAACAAAAACTTCTGTCATTCTGTCAATTTAGTCCTTTTAAGAAGATTTCTGTCAAAGTGCTTAAAATATGGAAGTTTTCTGAGGTTCTAACATGCATAGAGAAAAGCACTGAGGCACTTTTATTTCTTTCAAATCACAGAGAGTAGCCCAATGGGGTGGAAAATAAAGTAGTGCCACCTGTCATTAAGGTGACAACATCTTTCAAAATACCAATTTCTGCAATGCATAGTGTGAAACTGAAATATTGATGCTGGCCATCTGATCAGCAAGCATCAGTTCTGTAACTCTATAAAGAGTAAAATGGAGTAATGGATTATAACATGTGCAAATATTAACATTTCATTTATGTTTTTCCAAAAGTAGGGGTTCACTTTGTAACTAGTGTGTTGTTGGTTTGAGCTAACCCAACCAGACTAACCCATGCCATGTGTTTTCAGTACAGAGCTCATTAGTCTAGGCAGGCTCAGACTCTCCAGTCTGAATATGACCGGACCAATCACAGCTTGGTAAGGCGCGACTTTGGCAACCAAGTAGTCAAGATGGCAACCGCAGTAGAACAATGTTTTTACCATTATATTCTGCATATCTGCTTCTTTCTGTTAGTTTTCTTGTATCTTCTTAAACCCCAGTCGGCAACAACAGATGGCTGCTCACACTGAGCCTGGTTCTGCTGGAGGTTTCTTCCTGTTTTCTTCTATACTGTCCCTGTACGGGCACCAAGTGGGAGGGATTGCTGATGAGCCAACGACAAAATGCTCAACAAGGAGGAGTGTGTCCTGCAAGTCAATGCCGATATCTTATCATCTGGTTTCCCTTCATGGAAACTTTTTACCAATCTGATTGCAAACAATATTTTGCAAGTTTGGCACAAAACTCCAAAAGTGGGCCGGACAAAAGTATTGGCAGCCTAATACTTGGTAGCACAAGCCAGAAATGTGAAATGTGAAGTCAACAAGTCATCTTCATGTCATGTATTTAATCTACCCAGCCAATTAACCAGGTGAGTCCAATATGCACAGGTTGATTCATGGTGAAGATTGGACTCACCTGCTTCAGTAGGTGGGTAGAACAAATACATGACATGGAGATGACTCGTTGACTCCACATTTCCCATCTCTGGCACAAGCTTTATACAAAATACAGCAACTGTGAAAATCCGCTTTCTATGGGATTCAGGTCAGGACTCATTGCTGGTCACTTTAGAGGTCTTTAGTGTGTTTTCTCTCAAACCATTTTGTAGTGCTGTTTGAAGTATGTTTTGGGTCATTGTCCTGCCATGACTCCTGAGGGAGACCCAGCCTTCTCACACTGGGGCCTACATTGTGCTGCCAAATTTGTTGGTAGTCTTCAGACTTCATAATGCCACACATACACAAGCAGCCAAGTGCCAGAGGCAGCAAAGGAACCCCAAAACATCAGAGAACCTCCGACATGTTAGAGAGAGTGTTCTTTTCTTTGAAGGCCTCGTTTTTTCTCCTCTAAAATCCATGTTGATGCCTTTTCCCAAAAAGCTGTACTTTTATCTCATCTGACCAGAAAACACTCAGAAATGTTTTGACAAACTACAGTCTCTCTTTTTTATGTCATGTGCTACATGAGCCACAGTATCATGTGCTTTAAATGTCTTGATGAAACTGCGCACTGTAGATACAGGAACATTCAGGCCTTTGGAGATACACTTGTAGCCTTGAGATTGCACATGCTGCCTCACAATTTTGTTTAAGTCCTCGGACAGTTCTTTGATCTTGTGGTACACACATGGACACAGCACTGAGGTTGAGTCATCTGTAATCAATTTTAACTGGCTGCAAGTGTAATTTAGGTATTGCCACCACCTGTTATGTGCCACAGGTTAGTAAAAGAGTGCTGTTAATTACACAAATCAGACAAGCATCACATGATTTCTCAAAGAGTGCCAATTATTTTTGTGTTTTGTCATTGCAAGCAAAATAAATGAGGATATCAATACCAAAGAACTTGTAATTGCAGTCATTTTCTGGGAGAAATTTTGCATTTTCTGTCAATACTTTTGGCCAGCATAAGTACAGTACATAATTCCAGACCTACAGTGCTGTATGTACCCAGGCAGCAATCCCTGGTGCAATCTTGATTGAATTGAGTGGAAATTATGGTTACTCTTATTTTTGTGTATTATAAGTGCAGATTACTTTGTGGATTTGCAGTGTGCATTTGTATATTGCAATTTATTTACACCCATGTCTCAGAAAAATACCTTTCTCACTTTTGTAACTGCTTTTGTTCAGTTGATTTGACCATTGTCATGTATTTTATTGCAAATTCATTTCTCTGTTTCATGGACCTGCACAGCCCTTTGGTTACTTTGGTGTGTAAAGCTTTTTATGAATGCACTTTGATAGTTTGATCGATAAAGTGATTCTTTTGCATCTTCTTAGGTGTTCAAATTTGAACATTCAGATGTAGAATTGGGGTTATTTGGATATCTTAGAAAATGACATATTTAACCTTAACTGACAGTTTGGCCATTATGGAACCAATGCACCCACAAGTCTCACACAGTACAGTAGATGTAAAACATTTATCTGACAGGATTCTTCT